GTCAACTCCAGTACAATCCTCGATTGAACAAGGGCTGGGGTCTCTCGGATGGAGAGGGACTGGAGCGCGACTGGTCCTTTTTGTCTCCGCTAGTGATGCCAAATCGCTACTCAACTAGACAACACCGGCTCAATACATTGCATCTCCGCAGCAAGCATCGCAACAGTATTTTGCGTGCAAACGCAGGTTTGTTTTGAATCAAGCTTCCATCCAATTGAGTTGAATGAGCTTCTGATCTGATTCTGATATATTGTTGTATCAATAGTTGGCTCGGCACAACAAAAGCTAAAAGATGCGCAAGTATCTTTCGACCGGGCCACCACAAGATTGAATGAGCTGTCAGCTTCAAACAATATCTATACACTTGAGTATTTTGCGGGTCAGTGGAAAAGACAACAGACATTGCAGATGTCTGCCATGGAAAACGAGAGTGTTCGTAAGCTTGAGGACCAGGTGACCGAGCTACTTGACCTAGAAGAGAAGCTCCGGGACTCACAGTGGGTACAGTGTTTGTTTTAGCTTGCTATATTCGGAGCTAGAGGAGCTCATTTGTACCTTCAATGATGACAGTAAGAAGCTTTCAAGTTTGCGAGGAGCACAAATTCGAAATCGAAGCGCGGCAGAACAGGAACAGATGCTCACTTTACCTGGTTCGATTGTTGCACTCGAAGAGGCAATCATGGGGGTGGTGTCAGATTTAGGATCCGAAGAGTTTCGGAATGTAAAGAAAGCCAAAGGTCAGCGCTTGTACTTCACTTACAAAAATTGTTCTCACTCTGAAGCTGTATCCTTTGGCAGATCCAAAGGCTGGTGCTCTTATCCGAGTTTGCATAGCAAAGCATAAGCTGTATGAAGCTAAAGTTGGGATTTTAGAGGCACAAAAACGATGGGAGAAGCATGGCCAAGGTTTGTACCTGTCTCTTGTTTCGCAATCATTTGGATTGAAACGTATCTGATACATGTATGTATGGTGAGCAGGAACACGTGCGCAACAGGGCTTGAAGCAGTTTATGCGAAACAAACAGAACTTGTTCAAGCGGAAGTTTGATTCATTCAAATTAGAAGTTACGAAATACAATTCTATCCGCCCCTTGAGTAAATTACCCTGCCCTTCCTACGATGAGGCAAAGGGAATGTTAATTGAGGACCAGTTTTGGAATTCGGGTTCACTTTCGCATCCCGATGAGCCTTGGGCAGTTGATCAAGGAACAAAGGAGGGAATTCAAGCGTTCCTACAACAGCGAAGCTGTGGTGAGGAGCTTTGTCGTATCAGCCGCGAGGTTCGGCAGATGATGCTCCATGCTATAAAAACGAACGAGCAAATGGAGAATCTCCGTGATTTATCCGTTAAAGGTATGTAAAAGACGTTCTTTGTATTGCAATTCATTTGTACATACAGCACCACATGAGACTAAATAAGAGTTCTAGACTAATACATCTTCTGAATTGTGTTTGGAATACAGACTGGGACCCGGAATGCCACGGAAAGGATAGCCCAATCGATTTGGTCCAGCCAGGTGGTCGACAGGCAAAGGAGGTATGGAACAAGAGTAGGACCGTTCTAAATGCACTACACATAAATTTGAGTCAGTTGCACAGCCGAGATTTGATGAGTTGGAATACTCACATGGTAGAACTGCTGAGAGGCACACAACAGTACACAAAATCAACCATTGAATTCGATGACAGGTTAGTTCTTCGTTGGGGCAGACTGATTGTGAAGTGTAAGACTCAGTAATGAGACAAACTGTAACGTGCGAGAGCAATTGAATGCTAATAGTGAGGGTTCAACCCTGAGGTAATAAATGAAGTGCTTGAGGCAGCGGCAAGTATGTCGTTGGGCAGTGGACAATGAAATATGATGAAATTTTTAATGCACGAAGAAAGAAAGAGAACATTAGATCAAAACAGTAGTCACACGGTTTATATACAATATGTTGAATGCTGAACAATAAATGAGTATAGAAATAGCTTGTGGTCTGTTGGCTCATGTGTTGAACTCCTGAGAGCAAATGCTGAGCATAAACATCATAAGCATTCATGACCACTAAGTGTCGAGTATCCATTGTGGTACAGAACTTGTATCAACATCCCCCCTTGCTCGATACTTTCGTGGGTTTCGGGAGTAGGTGTGAAGTCGTTTCGTGAATTTCGTTTGGGTTTATGTTTCCAATTTGGAAACGGCATCTGTTTAGCATTTCCTTTGGAGCATTCTTTGTCAGAAAGTCTGCGGGCATGAGTTTGGTGTCGATCATGTGTGTTGATATTTGATGAGAGTTTATGAGATCTCTGATGAAATGGTGCCTGATGTCGATGTGTTTTGAGCGGGCATTTGTCGCAGATTCTTGAGATAGGAATACAGCGCCGTTATTGTCATTGAAAATGCTTAGAGGAGGAAGGGAAATAGGAGATGTTGGTAATGGAGTTTGAGTAAGGTGGGATATCATTCGGCGAAACCATAGACAGTGCTTTGCACAGTCGCCGAGGGCCATATATTCGGCTTCAGTGGTAGATAGTGCGACGGTTGGTTGTCGACGGCTTTTCCAGGATATGAGTGATCCACCTAGTGTGAACACATACCCAGTGGTGGACCTTCGCGTCTCAGTGCAGGCGGCATAATCGGCATCAGCATATGCGCGTAACTCGGTGGATGGAACCTCGTGGTTTTTGAAAATTATTCCACGGTCGAGGGTCCCTTGTATGTATCGAAGGAGATGCTTGACTGCCTTCCAATGTCGGTATGTGTATTTTGATGAGTATCTTGCAAGGGTTGATACTGCGTATTGGATGTCAGGACGGGTGTGTACAGCTGCCCAGTTGAGACAGCCAATGGCTTGTTGGTAAGGTAGGTGGGCAGCATCAACAATTTCTTCATCGGTGCCTGGAGTTAGTTCAATAGAAGAGGGAAGAGGTGTGTTGGCTGTGTTGCAGTGTGTCATGTCGAACCGGTCAAGGACATTTTTCAGGTAATGTTCTTGGGAAAGATGGATTGTTTTGTTTTTACGGTCTCGAGTGATTTTTATTCCTAAATGTAATGTAGGTTCAGTTGTCCAGACTAGGTTGTATAGTTGATGGAGTTTTTCTTTTATTTCCTTCAAGAAAGGTTTTGAGTTTGAGAAAACAAGTCCATCATCTACATGCATTGGGATGTGGATGATTTCTTTGTCACGCCGAAGGGTAAATAATGAATTATCGTCTTTTGAGGGTATGAAACCAATACTGCAAAGTTTTTGTTCAAGGTCTGTGTTGAATTCTCTATGTGCTTGTCGAGTACCGTAGATAGATTGTTTTAGAAGCCATATTTTCTTTGGAAATTTGGGATTGTAGAAACCTTGTACCTGTCGTGTGTATACTGGCAGATGCATTTTACCGTTAAGGAATGCAGTAGCAATGTCAAACTGTTCCATTTCCCAGTCTTCGGAAGCGCATAACGAGAAGAGCATGTTCATTGTGTCGGACTGTACGACAGATGCAAACGTTTTGTCATAGTCGACTCCCCAAATTTGATGGTTGCCTAGCACAACCCATCGAGCTTTGTATTTTATGATGTTTCCGTGTTCGTCGCGCTTTCTTTTGAGGCGCCACATACCTCCAATGATATTAGCTTTAGGTGGTGCATCAACAAGTTCTCCTACGTTGTGTGAAGTGAGGGAGTTGAATTCTTTGTTGTCATTTTTCTTTTGAGTATAGCATTGCTCGTTGTTGTGTTTTGAATTTGGGTGAATGTGGCACAAGTCTTTTGGTGATTTTCCAACCTTTCTGTTGTCAGTTCGCATAGATCGTTTGGTTTTGACAGAATAGACTTCTTTGAATTTCTCTTCACTGCTAGTGTTGGAACTAGCCTCGAGTCGAAGTCGAGCACACACGTCGCTAGTGGAAATAGTTTTAATGTTCGATAAGAAATGTTGAATTATGAGACCAAATTCGTTTCGAGGTAAGCTGTTGACTAGGAGTATGGCATAGATTCTATCTGATAATTGTAGGTCCTTATCTCCAGCAGTCATGTCACGGATTTTGCTGTGTAGATCTTGAACTTTTGCGATGTAATTTGTAATACCAATTGAGTTGTCATACTTCAAACTAAATAGTTCTGTTAGAGTATTCGCAGTCACAATGCCATTGTCAGAGCTGTGCTGAGATACAAGAATATCAAAAGCCTTCTTGGGATCTTCGATAGATTTGATGGAGGAGAGATTTGCCGAATCAATGGAATTACGTATCGCATATAGAGCAGCTGCTTGTTGCATGTCGAAACGGGATCTTTCTATAGTGTTGGATGGACGTTCGATTTCTTCTTCAATGAATTCAAATAGTCCGTTCATTTTAAGATAAATCCTCAACTCAGTCTTCCATGCATGGATGTTTCCCGTGGCGAGTTTCGGAATAGAGGCAATGGCAGAGGTACTGAAGTTGGTATTTCCTGAGGTTGAATTGGACATCTTGAATCCGACTAGAGGTTCGGTTGGTTTGGTGTCGTGATCTTTCGACATAATGAAAATGACAAATATAGATTTGTAAATATAATTTATTAGTGCCTTTGATGGATCAAAGGGTAGTGCTTGGAATATGGTGGGCGCGTTTAGAGCGCTGGGCTCATAACCTAATGAGACAAACTGTAACGTGCGAGAGCAATTGAATGCTAATAGTGAGGGTTCAACCCTGAGGTAATAAATGAAGTGCTTGAGGCAGCGGCAAGTATGTCGTTGGGCAGTGGACAATGAAATATGATGAAATTTTTAATGCACGAAGAAAGAAAGAGAACATTAGATCAAAACAGTAGTCACACGGTTTATATACAATATGTTGAATGCTGAACAATAAATGAGTATAGAAATAGCTTGTGGTCTGTTGGCTCATGTGTTGAACTCCTGAGAGCAAATGCTGAGCATAAACATCATAAGCATTCATGACCACTAAGTGTCGAGTATCCATTGTGGTACAGAACTTGTATCAACACTCAGTGGGAAATGAATGTAAACGCAGTAAGTCTTGAATCCGAGATGCTTGATGATCAAGAGGTGCTTGAGCAGAGAATGCTTCTGTGGGGTGAGGAGGAGGAAGAGATGAGAGTGCCGCGCGAGGAGATTGAAGTAGAAGAGGAAGTCGAGCTGGAAGATGAGGGTGAGGCTGGTGGAGATGACCTAGAGGAAGAAGAGATTTAATTTGTGGAGATCGAGGTTTTGGTCAGCAATGATTCAATCATTTTGATCATATGTATATACTTGTAACATACAAATTCAATATTTGTGAATCGATTGACTTTGATATAGTGGTGATGAAGCTTTGATCGTGTTTCCCTGTGCTGGGATGTCGTTTCGGTGGTTTCGAGCAGTAGAAGGTGGTGATTGTGAGATCGGTCGAAGAGTAGCTTACGACATAATTGGAAAGGTGAGCTTGTAGTGTGTGTTGTGCGTTTATGTAGTAGGGGAATCGACGGACAGACTCGTCTGTCCACTACGAGGGATGGGGGTATGGGTGTCAGATGCGTCTGACCCTGCCTTTCAGACGAGTCTGAGGCTCAGACAAGTCTGAGCGGGGGACTTGTAAAAATCAGAGGGGAACAGATGCGAAAAGACGTGTTTTATGCGTCTTCACATCTTAGGCACAGGATACGGATAGTATCTGATCATATTGTCACGTTTTTCTTCGGATAGTATCGCACGAGTCTAGTAGCCAGAGGTGGTTCATTCATAGGCTGCGGAGATAATTTGTTGTTCTCTCTCAAATTGTGTTGAGTTAGAAAGATTGTGGGCCAAGCACATGTTGGGTTTTTCCAGTTCTTGTCAAGTTGAGGCTCCCAAGCGGGCTTGACCTAAGAGGCTTATGAGCCTGGCCGGCATCAAAATCTGAGAAATGCCTTCTGAGATTGTAGGCCCAAAATCACATTTAGAGATGCCATAAGATGTGGTAATATTGTTCAACATTATTGCCAAGTCTTTTCGCAGTTATGGAGGGTGAATCTCCAAGCATTCTCTCAAGGATCAAAAATCACCATGCTCAATGAATTAAATGAGCATATCTGGTAGAGGTGTGACCTTGCAAGGGCATACCTCAAGTGCAGAATAAGTGCAGCATGCTTTGGGATATGTACCCCAGGCCATGGTTTCATATGATCAAGAAAAGAGTGAATTTATATTGTCAGCCATTCTACATAAGTTGTTCTAGACATGGACATGACATGAAAGACAGTGGTGAAGAGATAATATATATGACCTATGTTACAAGTTCCCTGATATTGACAGTGCCTAGAATTATACATCCAACTGACCATGTCCTATTTTGTAGTGAAACATCCATGTTGTGTAGGCTCAAACATGGTGTCATCTGGATAACAAGCAAATGAAAAGTTGTAAATTGTTTCTCTGACGATTGATTACAAAACCTTCGGAGTCCTTGTACCGGCAGCAAACGCGCAAAGAAGTCATAAACTGTATCTATTTTGCCTATTGAATACTCGCTATTAGAATCAACGATAAACATCAGAAAGACATTTTGATCTAGTTTGGTCCAGAGAATCTAATTCAGTCGTCGGAATCCATAGAGCGGGTCATTAAGCTCATAGTCCAGTTCCTAGTGATTGAAGTGAAGTATCAGCACGCCTTATTGTCCTTTATACTTTGGCATTGGACTTGTCCATAATAATCGAACCCATACGTACCATGATTTCATCGGTTGTGAACTTTGGTCTGCAGTGACACTGAACCCCGCGCAATTTGAACGCCTCAGTCAGATGAGGATCTGCCTTCACACCGGATCCGGTAAAGATAATGTGTTTAAGATTGGGAACTTTCTGAAAGGCGTTGAGTCCAGCTAAGTTTAATGCCTTTTTCCAATACTTCTGCGGGACAGGCGTAACGAGTGTGCGAACATGTTGAAGCATCGGCCAGTTGAGCCAATTTAACCATTTCAATTCTGATCCAAGTGGAAAAGGGCAATGCCAACTAGCTATCACGCGGAGTTTTGGAAATTCCATCTTGAGAACGGAAGTTGGAATGACACTAAATACAGTGGTAAAGCAACCTTCGAGATTGGCTTGTATTGGTTTGAGTATGCGTCCAATATTTTCTTGACCTCTATCACCAGAGGAAATATCAACAACCTTTAAGCTATCTTTTGCAGTCTCGCAGATGTGAGTAAGAGCTTTGCTATTGTTGCAATAAGACGTGAAAGAGAACCGTCTCAACTTGCTTAATGCATTAGGTTTAAATGGCAGATTTCCGAGATCACTCCAGTGTATTGTTAAGCATTCGAGTCGAGGAATAGCAGCCATGAGATCAACCAAAGATTTCGAATCGTAAATTCCCTTTGCGTAACTACCCCAAGGTACGTGCGAGATGCTCAATTCCTTGAGATGGGTGAGGGCCTGAACCGCTTTGACCATAGCTGGTCGGACACCCATTGAGTGAGTGTATACAATTGACAATTCATTCAAGTTGAGGCCGAGCAGTTTGATGAGTGGCACCACCTGATCCATCACCACTGGTGGTGAGGCTTTACGACACACAATGGTAAGAAAGTCAATAAAACCTCAGGTACTAGTGTCAAATCTGTTCAGAGTTTCGAATTCGGATAATCACCTCGATCTCGGCATCTCACTATAGCTCCTTGTCTCGAATACCACATATTTCGGATAGAAAGACGCCTGACGGGGCATGAGAGGTTTGGGCCATAGATAGCATCAGTCCAGTTGTCCAAAATGATTTGTGCGCGACGCGAATTGTCCAAGCGGATATCACGAAAATATATTGATATGACAGCTTCAGACCATGCTTTGCAAACCAATCGGTAATCGAGGAATTGGGAAGGTGAAAGAGATAAACGGGAAGATGAAGAAGCAGCCTCGGAAGATGAATCTGATCCCTCAGAAGAATCTGGGGAAGTAGGTCCGATGCGCACCGGCTGTCCGTGGAGTTCAAAGGCAAAATAATCCAGGATGCACGTGAGAATTTCAAACGGCAGCGTACCGTTTAGAGGCGTGGAGGGAGATGGATTAGGGTCATTGGGCATCTTCTTTATTGTTCGTAATAATTGGAAATCCAGATTTCTCGAGTTTAGAGGTGATAATCAGAGAATCAAGATTGCTGAGACGTTGCGGTCGACCAAAAATAATGCAGTTGTCTCGAGTCAACCGCTGAACCATGATGACGTGTGTACGGTATATAGTCTTTGTTTCCCACGTGACGACTCACAGGTTACAACGCGTTGACTTTCCTCAACGAAGGTGGTGTTTTCAGGCCTGGGGCAGGATCTTTATAACACGCTCTGAATAATATTCCCAGGCAAGAAGAACGCATAGCCTCAGGAACGGATCATCATTCATGCAAATTAGGAGTGGAAGGTTTGAAACGATGAACCCCTTTGACTTTCAAGAAAAGATTATTGTTCAGCAACCGCGATTTCTGCTTAAAAATTTGACGCTAGCTCGAGGCAATTACTCAGACTCAAATCTACATATATGACTGAATCTGAAAGAGGATACGCGGAACATATTGTAAAGTAAAAGATATTCTATATGTTGTCCTCTTCAAATACATGTAGATTCACTAATAAATCTTCTTTGATAATAGGTCATCGAAGCATATTCATTGTCATTCCTATGAATCAGCCATGTCCAAATATAATGGCACTCCCACTGACTTGGGAAGATGCCAATTCCAGTGTAAGACTAGCATATATATGTACATCATTTTGCAAGTATCCTGATATAGCTGCTTGCTGATAAGCTCACGTAAACTCAGACTCTGACTACGGGCCCTGTCTGGTAGCTTTGATGTGAAAATCTACAAAAACAAATTCTGCCAAGTCTTGACAAACACATGATTTGGGGCAAAGAATCATGTTGGTTGACATTCTTGATGTAATTGAAAATAATTCCTAATGAACATGCTCTTAGTGGTTCAATCAAGGCCTATGATGTCCTTTTTGCGGTGCACATTCTCTACATCGGATATCTTGGTGTTGAATTTCTAGGTATATGCCAACCAGTCCACATTTGGCTGGAATAACTTTCAATCTTTCTGAACACGGTTTCAGTGAAAAGTAAAACTAGTTTACCAAAAGTGTCTGACTACGTGTATATTGTCAGTCTTGGTATATAGATACCTGGACTTGCCCTATAGAATATAAAAGTAAAACAGTGGTGAAGAGATAGATACTGATATACATAAATGAATAAGATCATTGATTACATTGGTTTTGATTATTCAAAATCTCAAATACTAGTTGTACATTCAATCCAGGACGACACTCGAGTATTGTTTTCAAGCCGTCCAAGGAATCATTGGGCGTAGACTCCAGTTCCTAGTCACAAAGTTAAATATCAGCACCGCTCAATAAGTGCTATAGATGTTTGCAAGACATTCTGCTGAAAAGATTAATTTGCACGGACCATGATTTGAAGAAGGTCATTTACTGCATTGATTTTAGCTATCCAAGATTCAAGATACTAGTTGTACGTCCAATGACGACCACCCGGAAGATAATCGATTTTTGTTTTTGGTGCCTCCAATGTGTCATCGAACTCGGACTCCAATTCCTAGTCATCAATTAAATCAGCATGTATTAAGACGTTTCATATATTTCTGAAATTAAATTTGGTCACAAGAATGAATTATACGGACCAATATTTTAACATGTGATAGGCAGGATACGAAGTGACACTTGATCCCGCGCAATTTGAAGGCCTGAATTAGGTCAGGATCCACCTTCGCATCAGACCATCCAACAAAGATGATGTGTCTAAAGTTTGGTACGTTTCGCAAAGCCTCGACTTCGGCGAATTTTAAGGCTCGGAGTCCTCCATAACAATAAGAATGGAATACAACCATTGTTCGAACATTCTGAAGCATTGGTGAGTGTAGCCAGCCCGTTTGTGATGTATATCCTTCACGATGATGAATACCCATCACACGTAGTTTTGGGAATTCCATATTGAGAACAGAAGTTGGAATCGGGTCCCCGGCCCCGCGAATAATGATAAAGTGATGGTCTAAGATAGCTTTCATTGGATCAAATGCGACATTGGCATGTTCCATCTCGCTTGCAAATCTAATATCAATAACCTTCAGACTAGGTTTCGCGGTCTGACAGATGTGAGCAAGCCCTTTGATGTTCTCGGGACATAAATTGAAAGAAAACTCTTTCAAGTTGGATAGAGTGTTAGGCTGCAATCTGATACCATCGAGATGCCACCCTTCTTGAAGTGACAGGGATTCAAGTCGAGGAATAGCAGTAATCAGATTTCCAAACGATTCGGGATCACAAATTCCCGGCCAATCACGAGACCCAATGAAATATCTGATATCTAATTCTTTCAGATTTTTGAGGGGTCTGACAGCTTTGATCATAGCTGGCGAGAAACCCATCGAGTACTTGAATTCGAAAGTTAATGATTCCACGTTGATGCCAAGCCGTTCGATGAGTCGTACCGCCTCATACATCGTTACTGGAGGACGAGGCGACTCTTTATGACCCCCATCAGACAAACAATTCAGGTTTATGCGATCAAAGTTACAGTCTGTGTCACTGTGACTCACCTTGAATTTCGCCTCTTCCCTCGATTCCCATATGTTCATACCGCAATCTCGCAATTGTAAGATCTCTAACGGGGCATAACAATATAGAGCCATACATGGTATGGTTCCAGTTGTCCAAGATACATTTCGCGCGTTTCGATTTATGCACGCACATCCTGTGAAAATACATTTTGATGATAGCTTCGGACCATGTTTTGCAAACCAATCGCATCCCAAGGAGTCCGCATGATGGACGAGTAGCAAGCCACCATTTTGGTGAATCGCCGTTCGACTTGTCGAATTGATAGACATACCAGTCCAAGATGTAGGTCAGAATTTCAACCGGAAGTCCACGAAGCTCAGGTGTCATGGGAGATTGATCAGTGCTTTTTGTCATCTTTGCTGTCTGCTGTGAAGGTCCTTTGAGTCCACAGTTGAGAGATTGAGAGAATTAAATATGCTGCAGTACTTTGTCCGATCGCATGTGGTTTTAACTTTCTCAATCAATCGACGAACTTTGATATGTGGCATGTATTCCATACGCGACGTGCCATGTCGCGTTGACTTTCCCTTTGATGACAATGAAATCGTAAACAACATTCAAACTTAACAAATTCCACTCATTCTCCGAGCCCGAGGAACGAGGGTAGTGTAGCGAGACTCAGCTTGGACGCGACTGCGCGTATCCAGCACGCATCACACCTCATCCTGGAGGTCGCAATGGGGGGCAACGCGGAGTGCGACCTGCGATCGGGGTCGAGAGTCTGTTTATGGAGATGGGAGTCTGGGAGTCACAAACACGAAAACACACCCTTGATGAATACAATCACTTTGCAGATGTGTTTGGAAGCGTTATCACGATACAAAATCACAAAGCTGGAAAGAGAAAGCATATCTGACCTTTACACCATTCGCAAAAATGCAGGCTAAGAAATCGTGAGATCAGCCACCCATCAGCATCACGAGAGATGCTATACAAAGGTCAGGTTGATACAAGATAAGTCCTGACATCACTATCACATCATCTACACCTTCACCTCGGGATCCGTCACCCTTTCTCATTTTACAGTGTTTTTGGTCTACTTGATGATAGTAGCTCCTCTACTTTTTATCATTTTGCATGTATTGTTTTCCAAAACATACATGCAAGTCTCAATACATCTTGAATGTTTTTGAAGATAGTCGCAGTCAAAGATATCTATGACTGATCAAAGGTGATTGAATATGTGTATATTGTCAGGCCTTTGACATAGGTGCCTTACAAAGATATGGATACCTTAATTTAGGATATGAGATGAAAGATGGCTGTGAAGACCCAGAATTGGGGTAACACGATTCCTGCAAAACTCATGTTGAGTATGAGCTAGGTTTCCAATTGTGTCAGCACCAAGAATCGAACATATTACGCAATCACAGTGTGTTTCGCATTAAGATAGCACTGCCAAATGGGCTCATCACATCTTCTGACAGCGTCTCTAAATTATGAAGACGGTTAGGGCGAGTTCTTGTACATTTCTTGTCGTCTTGAAAAAGTCCTTGAAAACCTGCTTGTACCACACAAACCAACCAAAGTAAAGACTCTGGTATTGAGTACTGGATGTCAAAGCCTCGGTATCACTTACATCAACAGCAAGAGCACAAAGCAAGAAGGTATTTATTGCATTGGGTTTGACTAACCGAGACCTAGAAACTTGCTACACGTCCAATAGTGCCCACCAGGGAGACAATCTGATTTTGCTTTCAATCTTTCCAATGGGTCATTGAGCTTAGATCCCAGTGACTAGTGATGGATTTGAAAAATCGGCGTGACTTATTGGGTCTTAGATAGTCTTAAATCACATTTATAATAATGAATTCATACGGACCATAAATTCATATACCCTAAGGAAGGTAGAAAAGTATGTAGCACTGGACCCCATGCGATTCGAAGGCCTTAGCCTTTTTAGGACCCATCTTCCGATCAGATCCTCCAACAAAGAAGATATATCTGATTTTGATACGCCTTGAAAGGTTTTGAATTCGGCTAGTTCCAGAGCTTCCTTCCACACAAGTTTCCGTCACAGAATGAAATATAACCATCGTTCGAAGGTTCTGAAGCATTGGTGAGTCTAGCCAACTCAGGTCTGATGACTCTTCATAAATATAATTAATACCTCTTAAACGAAGATTCGGCAATTCCATCTGGAGAACATTTGGTTGAATTTGCTCAGTGAATGCAGCAGTAAAGTAACCTTCGAAGGTAGCTTTGATTGGTTCAAATATAGGCTCGATACCTTCAGCAACGTTTTCATAGTAAACTTCAATAGCCTTCAAGCTGTCTTTTGCGGTCCGACAGATGTGAGTAGGCCCTTGATGTTGTTCGGATACAAACTGAGACCGAGCAGTTTTAAACCCCGTTTTATATTGGGTAGAGCGTCAGACTGTAACGTGATATCATTGAGACTGGTCACGAATCGAACGGAATGCGAGTTGAGCAATGGCATTAATGAGATTCGACAATGATATCGGATCGTACGTTCAACGTGAATGACTAGGCTGACGCATACCAAGCAATTGGCAAGATATCCAAGTCGATATTTGGAAGTATCGCGATTCTGCCTTGTGTCGAATTGATAGACATAAAAGTCCAGTATGCACGTCCAAATTCGACCGGCAGCCCACGGCGTTCAGGTGGCAGGCGAGATTGAGCAGTGCCTTTTGGCATGTTTTTTGTTTATTTACCGGAAAGGTCTTCTGATTCGCGTAGCCTAGGTCGTCGGAGTTCAAAGTTGAGAAATCGGGAAGTTCAAATGCTGAAGTACACTACTGTAGTTGCATACATATTGAGTTTTCAGTCTTGACTTTTCACGTGACACCCCCGCGACATCTTGGGTTTCAAGTTCCTGACAAGTTGACTTTCCCTCTGGTGATGACAAAATTATTGCTGCAGAAATTCAGGTGAGATGCATACAAACCCTCTTGCTCTTTTGCATCATCAACCAACATGAATTCTTTTTCATTTTAAATGTAACTTGTTCTTCTGTTTCGGCCATTCATGGTGTCATATCTCTCATGAGGAGCTTTCAGGTATGTAGAAGGAGTGTTCCATCAGCTTCACTCTCCTTTCCCTTGTCATCTTTGTTTCATATCCTCAACGGATTGAAGTGTCCTAGTGAGATAACATGAAAACTGATCCTTCCCTCATAGAGATTTTATGAAACTCACCCCCAAAACGACGAGGTGAATTTGTTCACATCTTTGATATCAAATATTCCAGTGGTTGTGCATGTCTTTGATGCATTTTTCAAGAAGAACAGACTGAATGTTGCACGGAAACTGTATTGATTTATGGGGACTTGGTCCCATAAGTGCTGTCGAAGCCATAAATCATGGCCTTATGCATCAGCATGAAGTATGCTGTTACCTTGTTTCATAATTCACGGCTAGCAACAGTAGCAACACCCAAATATTCCATGAGAGTTGTGTAAATTTAGGGTGTAAAGCCAGATCCCGCATGAGACAGTCTTTAGATTTCAATGAAATTACAAAGCCAGTGTAAAGTTCAGTTTCTGGGGACTTGTCTGGAGTGACTGAAACACAAAATGAGGCAAGAAAGATATCATACATGTTTGGATTGAATGCACAGTGCCTCAGATGCTCCTGATTATATATATTTCAAACAGTTCAAATTAGATCTAGATTTATAACCTTTGTGGGAATTCTACCTTTTCCTTGCTTGAACACCATCAAAAAATTTCAATCATGTTTTCAATCTTGAAGTTCATCTTAGTTTCACAGGCCATTTTTGCTCAACCAATCTCATGCACTATTGAAGATATTCCAAAAGCTTTTACTACATCATCTGAACATGATTTTCCAAACAATATGCAAGAAGTTGACACCACCTTATCCCTTATCCCTGGATCTTCTGGCCAAAGACACATCAAGGACTACAAGTTTGGTGCAAGGCATCATGGGAAAACCAAATGTTTGAAATCAAATGAAAAGAAAAAAACAGAGCTACACACCCTTGAATTGTTTCCTCTTGACACAAAGAGATTATCAGAAGGTCTGATTTTGAAATGTTTTTTGACTTTGTTCCACATTATGCCCAAATTCATTTGTCTTTCCAATTCCCTACCCTAGAAGGAAATAATATTCCAAAGAACTCTCCTGGAAGGCTCAAACCAAGCACAAGTATCCATGATCAGATACACAAAGAAGTGATGGGTGCCAATGAAGATGTGGAGCTTAGTCTAGGAAACCCTCAACACCAATTTTCAAGTGAATATCCCATATTCAGATCTGAATGTTTGTTATAGACATGAATATCATGATTGACCATTTTCACTTGTCTGAATTTATTCAATCAACTCAAAACTCAAATGGTCTCAGACTCCATGGTACCAGTTAATCCTCCCATGACAAAAAGTTGGGCTGACTCACAAAGCTTTGTGAATACTAGAGATTCAGATCATGATTACAATATGAATGGTGAGAAATCTCCAATGCTTCTTTCTTGTTGTCGACATTATTTGTCCCACATTGGAAGATCAGATCTTCTAAAATCCTGTTGTGACTTTTCTCCAGCTTATCAGATGACAAATGGACCAGGAAATAAGCGTAAACATGCAGAAGTTTCAGTCCAAGGTCCCACCACAGATGATGATCTCCATGCAATAAGTAAGTCACATTTTTTCTACAAAACTGATCATCACCATACACCTCTCTTCAAGCAAATTTTGATTCAAATCCCCAACTGTACCAGTTAAAACTTCTAGTCCACATATCTCACATCATGATCTGCAAAAACAGATCTGGCATCAGAATGTTAACATGTACAAGGGTAAGGCCCTCTGAGGTGATGTTCAAGATAAGTCCATTAAATGTGCTAACTGAACACACCTCTCAATTCTCACACAGGGATGCATCTGCATAACCCAACAGCAATGATGAATTTGGTTATACCAGAAAGATTGTGGAACTTCATTGATCATTGTCATGCAATGAATCCGGACAAGTTACATGCCGCTAATGGGCGTATGAAGGCAATTGCAAACCTGCGTCAAGATGTTATTCAAGATCTTGCAAGTGAGAATGCAGGGTTTGTGATGAATTTACATAGTCTTTTGGCTCAACAATATATCCGTGGAATGGAAACAGAAGCTATCAAGGGAATAATTGTTCTGATGCATGGGATTTGGAGAAGACAAAGTTCAGTTGCAGCACTTTACAAGATTCAACATAGGACTCAAGATCTACAAATTCACAGTTTTGAATCATTAGCTTCTATTATTCAACATCCTGACTTCACTTCAGCAACAGTATCTCTATTGGCAAATAAACCATCATCAGGGCCCATTCATAATGAGTATTTTAGAATCTTTGATTTCATTCATAGTGCTTCTAGACAGACCAAAACTAAAAAATCATTACTGTTTCATATTCAATGTGCACTTCTGAACAAATGGAACTTTATTGAACTTAAATTGGCAAAAGGTGATGTTGTGGAACATGAAGACAAAGATTTTCCCTACTTCAAGAATGATTCAAGATTGAGAAGGATCATTAAACAAAATGACTCTGCTTTTCAAGCCATCTAAAAAATATTCAACTATTTCAATCATTTTTGATCATTTTTATGTCTTATTGAACAACTGAATGAGGTGTTTTCATATTCATACCCATCTCATAAAGTGAACAATTTCTTCTGCGTAGATGAACAGAATTGTGTCCTTTTCTCAGATAGTGCCACTTATATTTGTGTTTGTGCTTTACAATGGCAATCATGTTTGATGAAAAGTCTATGTAATGAGTGGTACAAAAAAACTGCACTTATGTTATGCTATATCTGTAGTGCTTTTCATCATTTACAGTAAATCTAAGTTGATATTTCATGGTTTTTAGTAATAGCACACTTACAAACCAGAATACAAAATCACCCAACCTTGTTTCACCTGTGACAAGGATGCAGAGCTATTTCTGCACAGCTCTTCACCCTTTCTTGTGTAAAAAGCTAATTATAGAGTGTAACAAGAGATAAGGTGACTGTGGATCACAAGCTAGAATGCACTGGCTTACAAGCCAAAATCCTTGGATATACCAGATTTCCCCATTTTATAGACAGACACCACCACCATGGTTATTCAATTAAATTTACACATTTTCTTCACCTTTGTAAAAAACAAGTCCTGATGATCTCAAATTAGATTGGTCCTGTCCCAAGTCAACCTGAGTATTTATCCATAAATACCCATGTCACACAAGTGAAAGTCACTACTATAGACAGTCCTGGTCAAGCCATGTTTGTTGTGACATGACTTGCAATGTCAACTGTGTCTCAATGATGTCCTACCAGCCACACTATAGGAAGCCTCAGCTGCAGATTGTTCAATATTCATTCCATAAAAGCTTGTTTGGCAATGGCACTCTGTGCAGATGCTTCACATAGTGCAAATCTACAGCCCTTCTGAGCATTCTCTGGTGCCAGGGCATACTTTAGAAAGGTCCCCCAATGACAAAACAAAACCAGTACAATCACATCTTAGTTGGTTGTGATGTACTTGGCTTCAAACTATTTTTGTTCTGCCTATGATGTGCCACAACTCCAAGCTTCCAAGATGTGAGAGTTATTCTGAAAGTTCTTTCCCCTCTACCAGGAGAGGAACATGCTCTTTGGTAAATTTGAGGTGTGGCACCATCATGCAGGAATTATCACAATGTGTTAGTGGCACATATCATTGTACCTATGGCTCTAGAGAGGTTCCTACTCTATACATGGTGTGAGGAGTTGATACCACACTTCTTACTCAGCAATCTATATATAGTACTAGGACACCCCCTTTGTGCCCCTTGCATCTCACATCTATTCTCTGTTCTTATTGCACAGGTACTAGGGTAGCATCATGATCTGATGAATCTCCACCAGAAGATTTTGTACAACACATGAGAAAAATGCACTGAGATCAATGACAATGTGATTGAGCTGATGTTTGCTTCTAGGGTCTTTTCCAAAGAATTGTATTGTTGGACTTATCCATAGCAAGTTCAGTGTTTGCTGTGGGATCAAAGTGGAAACTACAATGGAGGACCACAATGTGCTTTCAGGGGGTATTTATTCTGGTCTACGAGCTTAAAAGAGAGCTGCTTTGTAGTTTCTCAACGCAGAGACATTGTAGATCTTAATCTTGTGTGTTCAAATAAATGCAAAGCCAAAGATGTCTATGAACAATCGAAGGTCATTGTGTAGGTTTACAATTTCAGTCACTTACTCACGTTGATGCCCTACTCTTTAGGATGTGAGATGAAAGTTGATTGCGAAAAGACAGGATTTAAGTATCAAGCTCGCTGAAACTCATCCTTTCAGCACCTGAGAATGAACACCCCACAGAAATATAGTACACTTGTTACTATCTTGATACTGAACGGGTACTTGAGAGGCTACTTGCACCGCAGCATCCAATTGGATACTTGATGCCCAAGTATGACAACTCTTGCACCAGCAGCAAGAGCACACAGGAATATTTTTATAGTATGAGTTCTGACTATTCAAAGTTCAAGAGGCCTATACGTCCAATAGGAACCGCCGGGAAGACAATCCGACTGTGTTTTCGGTCCGTCACATGGGTCATTGAGTTTAGATTCCAACTCCTAGTCATTGATACAAAAAATTAGCATCACTTCTTACGTCCTACATATTTCTAAATCGCAACCGGTAATAAAAATGAAATCATACGGACCATGATTTCGTCATACGGTAAGGATGGTACACAGTGACAATGGACTCCGCGCGTTTTGAAGGCCTTGACTAGTTCAGGACTCATATCATCATCAAATTGACTTACAAAGATGATGTGTTTAAGATTTGGTACTGTCCGAAAAGCCTTAACTCCAGCTAATTCCAAGGCTTCTTCCCAATAAGCCGTTGTCAAAGTATCGAACATAACGAGTGTTCTGACATTCCTCATCATAGGCCAGTGTAGCCATGCCATATCTAAACCATCTTCATCGAGATAGAAACTACCTACCACACGAAGTTTTGGAAATTCCATCATGAGAACAGAAGTTGGAATCTGATCAGTGAACAGAGCCGTAAAGCAGCCTTCTAGGGTGCCTTTTATTGGCTCAAATATGTCATTGATATCTTCTATGAGTTCTTCAGAGTGAAGTTCAATGATTTTCAAACTATCCTTCGCGGTTTGACAAATGTGAGCAAGCCCTTTGATGTTTTCGGGAAACAGAGTGAAAGTAAACTTGTTCAAGTTAGGTAAAGCGTTAGGTCGTAACTTGATGTCATTGAGACGCCATTGGTCCAGAAGTGACAACGACTCGAGTTGAGGTATAGCAGTAATCAGATTTGCTAAAGATTTCGGATCGTAAATTCCCGGTGATGAAGTAGACCCGAAATCATGTGTGATGCGCAATTCTTTCAAATTTTTCAAGGGCCTAACCGCTTTGATCATAGCTGGCGAAACACCCATCGAAAGTGTGAATTCCAAGTTCAACGATTTCAAATTGAGGCCAAGCCGTTCGATCACTTGTACCACCTGATACATCGTTACTGGATGGTCTTTATAACCGCCATCAGCAAAAAAGTCGTTTTCAAATCAAAGTTTGCAACTGGGAAATTCACCATCGTTTTCGCATTTTCCCATAAGGCCTGTTGTTGCATACCACAAGTTGACAATGTGAAGTTTTCTAACCGGGCTCAAGAGTATTGAGCCATAGATTGAATGTGACCAGTTGTCCAAGATGATTTTTGCGCGTTTTGAACTCTTCAAGCTGATAGTATGAAAATACATTTTGATGATGGCTGTTGACCATATCTTGCTAACCAATCGCATACTAAGAAGTTGACAAGGTTTCGAACGTGCAAGATTATATTTTGAACTACCACCGTTCGGCGTCTTGTCGAATTGATAAACATAACAGTCCAGGATGTACATCAGAATTTCATACGGCAGCCCACCATGTTGAGATTGATCGGTTTCTTTTAGCATCTTCTCTCTTTATCGTGAGGGTCTTTGGAGTGCAGAATTACGAGGATGAGATGATGGAATTCGCTGAATTGACGGCATGTTCTCTTCATTTTGATTGTAAAGTATTCATTTACATAAACTTTGTTGTGTACATACTAGAGGTATGACCCGGCGCTCAGGTTCAGGGACGGACACGGGGACGTATCAGATCCGGCCTCGGCCACGACACCCTCAAGGATGCTGCCAGGCAACACCGGGCAGGCCCCAGCTCGGGCCAGCTCTTTTTCAGCCTGTTCGAGAGCTGGACGGATGCTTGATGACGTTGATTTTTCCAGAAAATTGCTTCAACAAGCCTTCAGCTCTAGTACATAAAGGGTACTCAAAGTAAGTATGTAGCGCTACATACTTTTTTTTTGGAGGGGAAAAAGAAAAAAATATACTTGTGGCCTTGTCTTCCCCGCCAAAAAAGTATATACATAGCAAAAAGTATGTGTAAATTGAGTACCCTTATACCACATGCTCAGATTGTATTTTTCCATGTGACACCCCACTTTTGACTCTCCAATGGCTGATACATATTACGCTCACACGCTTGATAAAGCACCTGTGGATAACAGAATTTTGTAAATAAACCCTAAATAAAATGGGACAAACAAAAGAGACATCCAGGGTGAGGTCCTCAACTAGGTTACCCACACAGTGGAAACGCACTGCCTTTCCATCCTTTGTGTGGTCATTCATCTTTATCAAATGTTATCCCAAATTTTGCAGCCATGCATACAGAAAGTGTTTTCAATTGATTTTCTTGACCCTTGCCATGTCTCTTTATTGTAAGATCTGATATTGCTCAAAATGATAACTGTAAGAGAGTTCTGGCATCAAGATTTGGTGAATACACTTGGAGCTCCTTCCTATCTCAACACTCAAGGGAAGATCATCATTTGCACTGGTTGTGTGATCCAGTGTTTTTACTAAGATGACACAAATTTATCCCAATGGTATGGAATGTGACAAAAGGCAATCCTACTTCTGAGTAGACATGCTTGTGAAGTTGTGAGGAGAACACACTTACACACAGTGATTTTGTAGTTGTAGGAGAACACTTGAAAGCCTCAGAACCTTACATCTAGTCAATTTGTGAAGTCAAGAATCAGACATCATAAGAGCACCCACTATGGTTGCGCTAACTGGGTGATTTAGCGTTACCGTAACGCTAAAATACCCTCAGGTCCACTATCGACTTGATTTAGACATGCAGTCCGTAATGCTGCGTTAAATCTTGCACCCCGCGTGCTCAGATCTACGCAAGCCTACGACTTGATTTATCGTAGGAAATCAAGTTGAAACTGCAGTTTTCCACACTTCAAAACCTCAACTACATTCCTCAAATCTCAAACTTCAAGTTCAAAACTTCAAACCTCAACTTCAAAGTTTGAACTTCACATCTGCCTTTTGGCCCCCGAATCAATTATGAATTTGTAAATCTTCAATCATTTTTTAATAAAGTTGTACACTCGTTTGAAATTTACGCTTGAACTTGAGCAACTTGAGCATCTCAATCTTTTCGGATGCGAGCGTGAGGAGGTGGAGGTGTGTGACAGTGAGGTTTATCAAACAAGAAGTCAAAGACCATTCGGACATAATGCTGCTGTTCATCATTGTCATTTGAAGACTCCAAAAGGGCATCAATTGGGTTTTTAAAGAGCTCGGAGCAAGCATTTGATGGATGTTTTTTGGATGAAAGTTATGAGAAATAAGATATTTCCTTTCAAAATCATACCAAGCTTGATTCACAGTGATTTATCGTTGGTAAATCATGTGTTACATCATCCCATAGTGGATTTCATGTGTTTACCAACTTTGGTAAAACACGCATGATTAAATTTCGCGCTCAAGAACGCAAAATCTATGATAAATCACCCTCACCATAGTGGGTGCTCTAAGAACATCAAAATTTGAGACAAGGAAGACTGAACAGTAGCTAAGAGCACATTTGGTTTGAATCATTGAATTTTGCTGAATTTTTCTAGCACAATGAATGCAGAGGGTCAATCAATACCCATGTAAAGACTTGAAGCTCTTCAAAATATGGATTCTGGTCTCATCAATCCCATAACAACCTCATTACATAAATTGCTCCATAGTTCAAACCACAAAAATGTTCTTTTCACAGAGAAATCCAAACAAAGAGGAGTGGTGGTCTCCTGGCTGTTGAGTAGGATTTTGAGTCTTGGGAAGTTGGATGCATCAGCTTGTTCAGATATTTCCTAAGTCAATGGGTAATCCATAGCTTGAGCCAACCCTGGGCCAGCAACGCAGGTGTTGCGTGTTGCGCTGCGCCTGCGTTGCGGTTTTTCTGACCGCAGCGCAACATAGAATCAAATTCTAGGTTGCGGCCTGACCCGCAGCGCACCATCATTTGTCAAATCGATGGATTTTTTGGGCCGCAACAACATTTGTTGCGTTGCTGCCCAAAAAAAATCACAGTTCGGCGTTTTTTTGGCGCTGTTGCGCCTGTTGCGTTGCGCGACGGTCAAGGCGCCGCGCAACCTGACCTCACCTTTTGTTGTTGCGGTACTTACCGCAGCGCAGCATGTAATGCAGGTTTGTGCTGCGTGTTGCGGAGCAACGCACCAAAAAACACTCGTGTTGCGGTGCGTTGCGTTGCTGGCACAGGGTTGCTTGAGCCAATCAATATCCATGTATTCTGATTTCTGCTTCAGTCATTTTTGACAGAGAAATTTCATATAAAAAAGTATCCCATGTATTATCTTCACCCACCACAAAGTCCTGAAGAACAATCAATAGAAGTTTCTGAAAGCATTCAGTCTTTTGTATTACAGATGCATGGCAGATCATGATACCAAGTTCATATTGCAATAGGGATGTGCTCTGTACATTGTAATTCAGCTGAAAATTAATTGATATCTTCAGCTAACATTGATTTAAGTTGTTTATGTAGAGAAATCCTTCAAGGCATAAATAATTTTGCTTGAGGGATTAAAAAGATAGTAGGCTGCACTAGGCTTCAGCAATGATGATTCTATAGCATCTTGAAAGAGTGTGTTTCATATGTATGGTGCACCCTCTTCTGAAACTGTCTAGTTCATAACAACAATTTCCTAACATCTTTTAGGCACAACTAATTAGATACAGCAAACCTGTGAGATGTATCACCCCATACATACAAATCTCTTGGAATTGGACAGCATCCATTCTAGAGTAGCAAGACCTTTTTGGGCAGGTGGCTAAGCAAAAGCTACAATGTACTTTATCATTGTAGCCATATTGATAAGTTGGAGGTCACTGATCCCTAGGATCAATTGAGTATACTACCCAGATCTTTCATCTTTGTGAGATGTTGCAATTTTCTGTCGGTGAGGCTTTGATTTGTGATCGAGCTCTAAGACTCGAACTTAATCTGAGCAGGCCAATGGTCTTAAATCATATTTTTTTGCTAGATTCATCCGACTTCTCTTAACGTGCATGAATCTGAAATATCTTCTTGACAAAGCACATCTATTGGGACAGCAGTTTGAGAAATGTCATTGCTTTCGATTTCAGAGTGCTAGGTGAAGAGAATCCTTGATTTACAGACACCAAAACCTCGAGATTTCTTGCAACAGCAGCAGGATCAGAAAGAAGCCCTGTCATTGCATTGGAATTGCCTATTCAAGATCATTTCATACGCGCGATCGTGACCTCCGGGAAGACAATCTAACTCCATGTGGTTCAGATTTATCCTACATACTATGCGGGTCCGTTCAATGGATTGTGAAGTTTAGAGTCCCATTCCTAGGTGTGTAAACAAACAAAGCAGCATGACTGGTCAAGTTTTATAATTTCAGAATATATTTGGTAAAGAGAATAGGATTTATACGGACCATGACTTCCTCGGGCGATAACATGGGCGTGAAGTGACACTGAATCCCCCGCGATTTGAAGGCCTCCACGATTTGAGGGTCTATCTTACGAATGGAATTGGCCAGGATGATGTGTTTAAGATTCGGTACCTTTTCAAAAGCGTTAACCTCAGCTGATTTTAAAATTCCTTTCCAATAATCCCTTGTCAAAAAATCAAGCATAAATAGTGTTCGAACGTTTTGAAGCATTGGCCAGTTTAGCCAATTCAGTCCTGACCCAACTCCACGAGGAGGATGCTGAGTTCCCAATATACGAAGTTTTGGAAACTCCATCTCGAGAGCAGAACGTGAGAACTGGTCAAGAAAAGCGGTAAAGCAAGCTTCGAGGGAATCTTTGATTGGTTCGAAAATGGGATCGATATCTTCTTGATGGCCATCGGAGAAAACTTGAACACACTTCAAACTATTTTTTGCGGTCTCACAGATGTGTGTAAGCCCTTCGATGTTTTCGGGATGAGTAGTAAATCTGAAGTGTTTCAAGTTAGGAAGCGCATTGGGTTTTAATCTCAAGCCCTCGAGATCATTGTGTTCCAGTTTCAACGATTTGATTTGAGAGACAGCGGAAAGTAATTTTCCCAAAGATTTCAGATCGTAAATCCCTTCTGTGCAACTACCTCCGCCAGGATGTTCCCAAATTGTGCGACTACACGAACCAGGATGCGTGATATGTAATTCGTTTAAAGCTTTGAGGGCTTTGACAGCTTTGACCATAGATGGTGGGGCACCCATCGAATAAGTGAAATCAAGGATCAACTGTCTATGTTACAGCCGAGCGTTTCAATTAGTCGTACGGCCTGATCCATCAACACTGGAGGTAAGTCTTTACGACCCCAATTAGCAAAAAAGTTGTTGAAACACCTCAGATCACAGGGTCACACGTTTTGAGAGTTTCTAATTCAACAAATTACCTTCTTCGGTATCGCACTCAGCTTCAAGTCCTGCTTCCGCATACCACAAATTATCAATACGAAGGCGCTTGACGGGACACAGAAGACCTGGCGCGTAGAGAGCATCAGTCCAGTTGTCCAAAAGAGTCTTTGCGCGCTTCGCATGGTGCAAGTGGATATACACAAAATAAGTTGATATGATAGCTGTCGACCATGCTTTGCTAACCAATCGCAAACCGAGGAGTTGGGCAGATGGAGAAGTTGAATCTTTATTGTCCAATAGACCCCAGAAATCGGCCAGGATGCGCGTGATGATTTCATACGGAAGCGCACCACGGTCAGTTTTGAAGTCTGATTCATCGCTTCCTTTTGGCATTTTCGCTGTTGATCGTGAAATCTGAAGTAAGGGTCGTCTGGGCAAAGGAAGGATTCAAGAGCTAAAATGTTGAGCACTTCGTTGTTGTGACCCGGCCCTGGCGTTGGCCCTGAGGCCAACCCTGTCCAGCCTGGAGGCTGGCACTGGGCAGTACGCGCCCTGGGACACACAAACCTGACATGATGAGAGACACAAAAGCCCTGTCTGGCCGGTGCCTGATATCTGTTTTGCCTTGAATCCCAAAGATTAACAAAGTTGGAAGATCAATGTCCATCCGCACTCACACAACTTACACCGCGGGAATCAATAGGTTCGAGACCCGATTGAAGAAAGCTGCGGTGACCGGGTCCGCAACTTTCTTCAATTGCGGATCTTGTTCACATTACGTTCACTGACCTCCCTCTTCCTGTTCAAGTTTCAGCCAGTGTCCCTTGAAACATTTCATCTGTATTCATGGACATTCTCGTGCTGGATAACAAGTAGCCCTTGATGAATTTTTTGCTGACTCCAAGCCTAACCAAGAGACATATCTGTGCGTATGTAGTCTTTAGAACATGTTTGATCACTCAGGTTAAAATTCAATGGTCAATTTTTCATCACACAATTTGTAAGTTTTCCACTTCTGGAATCATTACATAGGTGAATCAAGGGCTTATCTCCCCAAGTTCAAGATATTTAATAAAGTGGAGGCTCTCAATTGGCTCAGTGCTCAACTTGTGCTATCTTCATATAGTTGCTGAGTGAGGAAGCCAAGTGGTGAGGTGAGGCAAGTCAAGCTTTCCTTGCATGGACCAAAATCCTTTTCTTGGCTTTGGTCAAGGGTGGTCAGCGAACCTAATGCGGACGTAATGCAAACAAGGTCCGTGATTGAAGAAAGTTGCGGACCACGTCACTGCAACTTTTTTCAATCTGACCGGGTCCGCAACTTTCTTTGATCGGGTCTTGAACCTATTGATTCCCGCGGTGTTACCTGAGACACCCTTGATTACTGTGATAGACGTCCTTGCTCCATGCCTACCACCAGATTATCAACCCTACTTCTCTGCGCCAACCACTCATCATCCATGAATAGTCCTACTACTCCGCCCAGCCCAAGTGTCATTGCACAATTGAACTCTGTCTCTGGAGCTGCTTTGGATGCCACCTATATTCAAAGCTCATTGTAGGAGCAATATTGTTCCCAAGAAAAACAAGACAGCAACAACAAAATGACAATTATTTGCCAAGCCAAGCAAGCCTTCATTGATTCTCCAAGTCCCGAAGATCCCAATGCCTCAGTCATTATTTGCAACAAAAAGATGTAAGAAAACAGGATTACAGACTCGACGCTGTGTGACTACGAAAAACCTTTATAAGGTAGACAGGACAGACTTAGCTCTGTGCTGACAAGGCAACTGGCTAACAAAAGACAAGAGTTCTAAACTCTGAGACGAACCTTTATAAGGTAGACAGGACAGACTTAGCTCTGTGCTGACGAGGCAACTGGCTAACAAAAGACAAGAGTTCTAAACTCTGAGACAAACCTGATGAGAGGAACAGAGGGATGTAAAGTAATAGAAAGAACTTTAGAATAAATTTCCCCAATGGGTCATAAAGTGTTACTAACCTTTATAAGGTAGACAGGACAGACTTAGCTCTGTGCTGACGAGGCAACTGGCTAACAAAAGACAAGAGTTCTAAACTCTGAGACAAACCTGATGAGAGGAACAGAGGGATGTAAAGTAATAGAAAGAACTAAGTAGAGAAGAAGAGAAGAAAGATAGAGAATTGATCAAAAAAGGATAAACACGACAAAAAATAAAGGTTCAGCTGTGTTTAAAATAGATATAAGAGAAATAAAGAAATGCTGTGTTTTTCACTCTCACCTTTAGAATAAATTTCCCCGATGGGTGAAAAAGATTCAGAGGCAGAAGGTGGGAGGTTAATAAGAAAAACAGAAGAGAAACAAATTTTTGCTATCACAACTTCAAACAACAACATTTAAACAAACAATCCCAAATTGATCCCAATCCGGACATCTTCTTCTAACACCATCCTAGCAACTCCTAATTTTTAAGCCTTCAGTCTACACTAACACATTCCCATTAACCGGATTTGTCCATGTCATTTAAATTCCTTCTACCTTGTCGTTTCAGTACTTGAACACTCTTGCAATTGAATTCGTTCTACCTTGATGGTTTTGAAACATACCAGGAGGATAAAATACTCCAACAAAAGATTGCTATCAACAAGAATTCAAGCACAAAATTGATGAGCCAACACTTATCCCATTGCCATCACATTGAAGCTCCCATCATTACCAAGCAACACCCTCTGGCAGCATAATTCATGGAAATCAAAATGGCCAAGGTGAGAATTGATGAACATTTCATTTTTTGATTATTGTTGTTTTGTGAATTTATCTGATTTTAAATTTCATTCAATCAGATTTTGATGTATTCTTATCCCTGAAACTATTCTACCCGCATGTTTCAAAAGAATCAACACAAATCTCTGCTTTGATGTGCATTGAAAACTGACTTCCGCACAGAAATGGCATCAAAGAATGTCAAATGATTTGTTAATTTGACGCCAAATGTGAGATTCCGCAACCTTGGGCAAATTTTGCGAATTCACGCAATTTGCCAAACAATGAACCAAGTCAACATCTTGATACATCCAAAGGTCCACAAAGTGGGGCCAACATTGCAATGCTTGGCACAACACTTTGTCTTGCTAATCATTGTTGCAAATTTTGTTCAATTTGTGTGATGTTGAAGACGGTGTATTGAAAAGGATGCTTTGGTTTTTGATACTGCATCACAGCACCAGCTCTTTTTGCAGCTCACAAAGTGATTGCAATGATATGCTTGCATGCTACTCTAAACGGTGCTGAAGTATTGGAGTCCGTTCGGTTGCCTCCGACCTCGCAGGTTGACCCAGCCAAAACCTCAGGCGTACGCTTTGAGGCAGTTTGAAGTGTACGCTTGAAGTTCTGCTGTTCGGTACAGAAGCCGCGGTCGACCTTTGAGGCGTCTACCTCGAGGTTGGCCAGCCAAATTTGTCGACCTGCCAGGTTCGACGTTTTGGTCGAATCTCGCAGGTCGACCTGGCTAGTCCCATAGACTTGAAACCACGAGTATGTACATGGCGAAAAAATCACACTGAAAAACTTGAAAAGTATCATTAATAAGTGCCCTTTGGTTCAACTCGATATGCCTCCTAAAACAATGAAGAATCCCCCCAAGTTGAAGGCAAAGTGGACCGAAGAGAACGAGGAAGCCATGATTGACTTCTTGCTTGCCGAGAAGCAGGCCGGACGGATGGCCAAGTCAGGCTGGAAGAATGCAACTTGGATTGCATGTGCAGAGATGCTTGAAGGCAGCGAGCCACGTGGGAGTCCTGTAAAGAACGATGAACATTGCTCCAACAAGTTCACCAAGGTATACCATTTCTTGATACCCAATGTAGATTGATTATTGTTACTGATCTCTTTTTTTTGTTGTAGATCAAAGGGGATTTCCGTACGGTGAAAGGTTTGAGCGAGCTTAGTGGAATGGGGTGGTGTCATGCGACTCAAACACTGGATATCTCACAAGATGTGTGGGCTCGATTGGTAGAAAATGACCCAGGTGTAGCCAAATGGGCCACCACACGTTATCCGCTGTTTGATAAAATGGAAAGCCTTGTTGGCAAGATCATTGCATCAGCAAGAGACACATTCGATCCGACTCAACCGTCTCAGCCAGCTGTCAGCAGTACAATTCCCACATTCCAAGCGAGCGATCTTGGCGACTTTGACAATATTCCCGACTTTGATGATTTCACTCAAGATCGAGAAGAAGGAGAAGATGATGTAGGCTTGCAGGTGTGTGTGTAGATGAAGATGTGTACATTGAACTATGTATTGACATCATTTTTTTACTTATTCATCTAGGATATGATCGATCAGGAGCTTGCTCTTCAAGCAAGCCTGAGCGAGACCCCTGTAGCTCATTCCACTCCAGCTCGACAAACAAATTCAATTCACAAAGCATCTTCAAACAAAAGAAAGATTGAGGATCATGATCCTCTCCCTTCAACCCCAATTGCCAAGCAAAGCAATTCACGACAACAGCATGGAGTAGATGCGCTGGGTGAATTTGGGGACAAAATCATCTCCAGCTTGAATTTGACAATCAAACAACCTCGCCCGACTGTGGACTCAGTCAGCCTTGATGCGATAGCAAAGATAGAGAGTGATGTTCAAATTGACGCTTTGGTGAAGGCCATGATAATCACGATGTTTCTTCAACATCCAGCTATGGCTAATGGATATATGTTCATCAAAGACCAGGAACTAGGCAGGACAGTTTTACATGAAATGCTCAAGCAAATGGCTAAAAAGTAGAAAAATTATATCATCTTTCATCTCTTTGTTTTGGTCAAAGGAAATTATTTCACTGTTATTGACAAATAAGTTTGAATGATTGTTTTTTCAAAGATAATTGAAAAGTGTTTTTTTGAACAAAGTGAGACACATGTAGACATGATAGTTTTCTGAACAATAATATATCCACCTTAACCTCTCCTCCCTTGCCTTGCTGCAGTCTCTTTCTGCCTTTGATAATCCTCCCACATCTGAGTAGCAATTTGATCACGCCATTGGCTTGCTTCTGGATCTTCCATATCCGGACCTAGATAATTTTCTTCTTCAGATGCTGAGGACTGCTGATTGGGGAGAGGCATTGCCAAAAGATTATTGAACTCGGGAAACTCTTCTGAAAGTTCACCATGATCTTCAAGTCTTATAAAGTTGTGGACTGCACACATTGCTGGAACAAGTATCACTTGAGTCCTAAATGGATAGTATAACCCATGATTTGTCACCTCAAATCTTTTTTGCTTACTCCAAAATTACGCTCAATAACCATCCGAGCACTTGAATGACATAGGTTGAAAAGCTCTTTCTTGTTAGCAGGCCTGAATGCAAAAAATAAAGTAAAGCAGTATCAGATAAAATTCACATATGATGAAAGGAA